GTTGCTTGCCTGCCTCTCGCTGCCGCCCACTCGTTGCCCGCTCGCTGCCGCTCGCTGCCCGCCACAGCCCACCGCTGCCACCTGCCCGCCTACAGGTAATGTTTCTTGTTACGCAGAGCAGGGAAGACGTCATATATGTTATGGGCGGTAGAGCTTAATACTGGAGCACACGCACACCAAACCGTTTTATAAAAAGTATAATTTTTTCTTTTAAAAAAAATACCCAACCAAACATATTTTGTATTTTTGTTTCTAAAAACATATATATCATAATAGTACCAAACTAGTTTTCTAAAAACTTAAAATAGAAAATAAAACAAAAATAAAATAGATTAAAAATAAAAACAGAAATAGAAAATAAAAAGCGATCCCAAAGATATCCTTAGTTTTTTTTTTTTTTTGTATATTACTTTACTTTAATAGCAATAATTCAGTTTAAGAGATTTATAGTCATTGTATTTAATGGTGGTAGCCTTAGACAGCACCAAAGCATTTGAGCATTTTGAAAGATGTTTCTCATAATATTACTAAGCATGGATCTAAAGGAGGCGCCCTTATCCGTAATCAAGGAGGGTGCTCTTCCCCTATGAAATAAGGCATAACAGTTTCTCCCGTCTTGTGGGCAAAAGAGTGATTAAGCATTGGAATCCTAAGCAAGGGGTGTTTAAGAATAGATGTAGGATAGTTGGGTTTCAAACCTCATCAATGTCCTTGTGAATGAACTGCTTCATAGCTTATCTCTACTTATTGCACATTCTTATTTTATATGTTTTCAAATTTCTGTGGTAATCCATATATTTGATGCTCTCTATGCTAGAGTAGTAACATATCTTTGTACTTAAAAAGTTTTACTCTCTTAAGCTTAGACATTTTTTATATTACCATCATATCATTTTCTTGTGGGCACTAATTTTAAGTTTCATAGATAGCTTGTGTGATAGTGTATATTTACTACATTCATTTTTTCTTGATTACCTGTCTCCCACATTCATGCATATCATATTAACCTTTGGTTAGTTTGATTTAGTCATTTACATTTCACTGTGTATAGTATATTGTTACTTATCCCAGCATGCACCACATCTTTTATTCTCGTTGTGTAGGTTTTAAGTTGGGAAGGATTTCAAAATTAATTCTTAAAGTACCTTCTGCAACCCCAATGCATCCCTTGTTAACATGCCTTGAACTAACAAAGAAGCCATAAGCTTAGAAATGTAGGATCACAAGTGGTTGGGTTCTTTTTTCCTTATAATTTTTGTTGTTTGTTCATGATCTCAAGTTGTGTTGTTTTTGCAATTATCAATCACATATCCAAATTGGGAATCAGGGCTTAGTAGTTGAGAGCTTTGTCTTTCAATCAAGAGGTATTGGGTTCAAGGTCTTGCATGTGCAGGGCGTATGTTTGTGTGCATGTGGGAAAAAAATCCAAATTGAGAATAAATTATAGAACACTATTCTCTTTTTAGAAGATAGATCAATAAAAAGAAGTAAAGCAACTTAATCTATGCGGCACTATCCCACTAGTTTTTTTTTTTATGTACTCATTTAAAAAATCATCATCATTAGCTTTATTCCAACTATTTGGAGTTGTCAAACCTAAGAAATCAATTTAATAACCGATTATAACACAAGTAATAAAGAAATTACATATTCAGCTTGGGCATGCTTACTCTTTTTGATAGCCTTGAAATGTTGGCAAAGGTCTTAAAATATTTGGCCAAATGGTTTCAAAATTGTGAAGAATGAAAGGTATGATTGACACACAATGGGCAATAAACCCATATTTAGAAGTAGGGTACCTGTAGCAAGTCCTTGTGCATAACTTTAACTGCCAAACTATAATTAGGTTCTGTAGCATTTTATATGTGAATTTACTTGGTAACGGTTTGTATGATGGTATTGCACATTCATGGTAGAACGCATACGTTTTCTAAATGGAATGTATGATTCATTCTCAGTTGAATGCGTGATATACACTGTTGAAGCCTACAACATATAGTTTTTACCATGCGATTTAAATTTATGAATTTTCTGTTAAACCTTAGCACTAGTAGCATGCTCAGAATATTTAGTTTAAAGAAAATGTACAAAATACCTCACTAAAGATTGACTGGGCGAATGACTCTACCAGGACTGCTTGAGCACCCGATATTGCGTTTTTGAAGCTTCTTCTCTAACGACTAACTAGTTGTGAAATGAAGGTCTACCCTATCAACCCATTTTGAAAACTTCCATCTATAGTTCTTCTCATAAAAGGATTTCCATGAGCTGTAGCTCCTACAGCTGTCAATAAAGCTTTAGCAAATGCGATGCAGGTTTTAATGATAAGGCTTGGAAATAAAGGAAGCTCATGAAATCTGTTGATCTTGTGGCGTGAAATCAAAGTAGCCAAATTGAACAATGCATTGAATCCAGTTTCTGGATATCGTTGTAGCCAGGATTATAAGAGTTCCCTTAGGTGTTAAGTAAATTTGTAGGTCAATGATCTACATATCTTCCTCATGTTCCTGATACCCCCCTATTTAAATTCACAGCATTTTTATAGATTGTAGTTCACAACAATAAACAGTTTTCATGTAGATCATGCCTAAACCGAACAAATGATTGCACAATTATTAGGCCTTGATTCATGTGCTAACTTGACTAGATTGACAGGTTTCTCAGGCTTAACTACTAATAAATTGAAATGAACCCACTGCGGTAAACCTATTATTACTTGTTATATGCAATTTTAATCATAGTGAGTACCAAATTCGAACTTTTTTCATGATCTTCTTCCAGACGAAGTGTTAATTCTCCCATACTTGTTTTAAGCTTTAGCTTGTGGAGGATAAGTAGTAACAATTTAAGTTTGGCGTCCATCATCTTTGGAGCAGTTTCTTACAAATAGCTAATGAATATCACAACTCTATTAGGTACAGTAGTATTTGAATGTCTATGGAGTCTTAGGCTTCAGTTGAGACAGCTTTTTAATGCTTTTGTTGCAGAAAAAGTAGCCAACAAAAAGAAGATTATGTTTGGATGATAACTTTTTGATGTTTTTCCAAAATTGTCTCAGAATAATTGCTATTGGGAAAACATGATAGAAATTGTGCTTGAAAATAAATTTTATGAACATAAATAGGAAGAATAAGCTGCCGCAAACGAAACCTTAACCTCAAAGAATACTCTCACAAAAGTGATGTATCAACCACTTACCAAATAGTGTCAAACTTGCAATCTTAGAAAACTTATGTGCAGCACCAAAGATAGAATTCGTTAACACTTATTGGTAAATGCAACCTTGCGTGCCCTTACAGGAAATGGCCAAAAGAATCCAAAAGAAAAGTTCCTTAATCCTTGTCATAACTTTACTTCCAATATGACTTGTCATACATTAAATAAAACTCCCAAATGAGGAAGCCTCTCCCTCAAAGCAGAATTAGTAATACAAAATGAAGTTCCTTTCAGAGATAACCATCATGAATATGATTATCAATGACTAAAGCGGGAGGAGCGTTTGTAAAGAAACAAGTGAGCTTTTTTTTTAATTCTTATTTATTAATGTTATTTTACAAATCATATTCTTATCATATGTAGAAAAAATGAAATTTGCTATGGAGTGCCACTTCACGTACAGCTCTTTATTAGCTGGTTAGCAATGCCATATGTGCTTTTTACATGATATTGGCATATCTGGTAAAGAAATATTGTTCTCTTGATTCTTTGGATGACATGTTCCATGGAAAAATACAATTCCAATACAGAATAAAGGTTTTGCATCTTCTAGTTCATCTGAAATTTCAGGACTTTCTTGCTTTACTCTGGCAGTGGAATCATATCACAAATACAGTTTGGTGGCAAGACTTTCCTCGTAGAGATGCTCCTGATTATTCACCTCTTTTTGCTACAATCAAAGATCTGAAATCTGATTTTGCCGCTCAGTTAGTTGGTTTTGTAGCATCTCTTATCACTGATGTTCCTAGCCAAGCACATTGGATCAATGATTTGGCCGGATATGACTTTGGAGGCGCTGCTGCTTATCTAATTGCTTCCATACCTGGAATGCAGGCACTATATACCAATTCTTCCGGAATTGATTTCTTCCAACCTGTAAGATATATAAGATTAAATGTGTATTTTTAAGTAGTGTTACGGTCAAATTATTATGTTATAACAATGCATATCATACTGTATCTTCAGTGTAAACTTATCTAGGATAGTTGAGTTCTAATGCAAGAATTGAATGACAAAATGCAAGCTTTGAAAGCACAAAATCAAGTCATTAGAGAACATACTCCGCCCCAGCACAACATATCCACCATGATTTAGATGATGTTGATTTTGTGCCCAAAGTCGTAGAATAAAGCTCGAGCTCGAGCTCGAATTGCCGACTTTAGCATACTCCTGAAATGATGCTCTAAGCTAGAGTGCATATTGTTTTTATTAATTAGAGAGGCTAATTTTAATTTATTTGATTATGTACAAAGAAATGAAATTGAGTCATGCATGTCTAACTTAAAATATTCTCTCTTATTTCATCAGGGTAAAAAAGATAGGGATTTTTTTCCCAATTTTCTCTTAGCCTATTATCTTTATTTTAATCAATTATATATTTTTTCTTATGTCAAATGTAAACTTGAAATAATAAATTTCAAAACATATGCAAATTTTTTTTTTCAATTTCACAGTCTTATACCCAACTTTCATTTTTGAAGAACATTTCCTGCCTGATTTTGCTTTCTTCCTAGTATTTGTTCATTTTTTTTACCATTTTACATCTTTTTGTTATTAGTGATTGTTCCATTCTTTGTGTTTAATGCAGCTTGAGCACGTTGTGCTTTCAAAACATTCAACTTCTAAAAGATATCTTGGTTCCGTTCAAACATCCGTAGTAGGTATAAGCCATAGATTTCATAATGCAATTGATTCAAGAGGTGAACAACTAAAGAAGCTGGCTTCATTGCTTGGGAAGTTTAAAGAAAGTTCATCCGGACTAGTTGAGGTTGTCTTGAAGAGAAACCACAATATTCCTGCAGATGCTAATGCTGTTAGTGTTCTTGTTTCCAACGCTAATCAAGTGTCTAATGGAGGTTAGAAAAAAGCCATTCTATTAAAAAACTGTATGTTGCAAAAGTAAAATCAATGTTTAGTGTGATTTTGATGTGCCTTGAGGCTTGCAGTTGAGTAAGGCATATACAAGGCACCTTGTTCTTTATCTCATTGTTCATGATCAAGGTATGCACCTTATTTGTATGAGGTGTGCAGCCTCAATTTCAAGGTTAGGAGGTATTGGAATTTTCTTATTTGACAACCTAAAACCCAAATTGCGTGTTGATGCAAGTGAGGATGAGGGAGGTTTTTGATTTATATGAGAAGACGATGAAGTATGCTGATACGAGTGAGATGATGAGAGAGAGGCAAAAAAGCAATCAAGTACATTAATGATTCTAATGAATATCCTCCAACTGGTGGCTTTAGGAGAGATTTTTTAATATAAAGTTCTAAATCATAACTAGTTTATTGTAGGATATATTTATTTGTTTATTTTATATTTATTTATTTATTTTAACTTGTTTATAATAATTTTCTTGCTTATTGTTTACTGCTTGTATGATTTTTTATGATGAATGCTTTATTGTGAAAAAACTTGAGCTCAATTTTGTACAATGTTTGTTATCATGGCTTATAAGTTCAAATGCGTTATTTTATACATTTTTAGTTGATTTATTGATTTAATTTTGAGGCTTGTATGCTTTAAAGCACTTTGAAATTTATGTCTTACCTCACAAAAAGAAAATTCTTCAGTATCTAATTGCGTCATTTCAAAATATAGTAAAATTAATAGAATTGTACTTTTTCATGCAATTGATTACATATATTTTACTTGATTTTGTAATTAATGAAGCAATTTGTAATTGCCTCAAATGCACTTTAGGTACATGATGGTTGTGCTTTCACTTGTGTGGTAGAAGCATTGTGCTTTATATTAAGTTCGTTTATAGCAACAATATTACACATGTTCACTTTTTAGCACACAAAAGGAAGTTTAATTCAACATGGGCATGAATTAGGCAAGCATGGAACTTAACAAGATTTTGAAAGTTTGACCAAACATGGAACTGAAAGGACATGTTTAAGGTTCAAAGGTTCACATAGAGTTGAATTGGATGACATATACCATATTAAAATGATTTAAATATTGCTTAAATGATGTATATAATAATGCAAATATGTTTAACAAAAGGAACATAAATATTTCTTAAAATATTGATTTTATACAAGGCAAGAGAAAGTGAACAAGCCGAAGCCGACAAATAATTGTCGAGGGAGAAAGCAAATGACCAACAAAGGAGAATGGCTAGAGAATGGTAGATGGAAAAGCAAGGTTGAATGTAAAAGATATGGAAGTCGATTGCTGCAAGTGAATGAGATGGGATTTTGAGGGATACGATTAAGTATTAGGATAATTAAGCCTATGAATCATATGCTTATTTAAAAAAAATATTAAAGTTGTGTTTTGGGTAGTGGTACAGTGTAGTATCACACTTTTAGTTGTTTGACAAAATTGCATCTTGCAAACTTTAATTGCGTTTTGCAACCTGACCTTGCAACAACTATTAGAAAGCTGTGGTTTGATTTTTTGAAAATAAAATAAACTTGTAATAGACATCTCAGTTTTTTGCACAATAATTTCTTGTGTTGTTGCTTCGCAGCTGCATCTTCAAGCATTTATAGTTGTCACAAACAGACCCTCTATTTTAGCATATAAATTTAAAATTAATTGTTATTATTAGTTCAAAATATGAATTGAATGGTTCAATAAAATATGAAACTATTTGCCACTTCATCGGCCTGGTTCTAGCCGGTTTATTGTGAAATAGATTTAATAAGAGACGTATTGTATGACTAGTTTACAGTTGAACTTTTTGGACATAGACTGTTTGATTGATAACTAGTCAATTGGCATGAGAACATGAATAGCTTCTTTCCTTATGCGTTGTGAGTTTGTGTTAACAATGCTTCATACATTGAATTGTAGTACCTTGAATTTTTTTTATATAATTGTTGAAATATATACATGGATGTTATCATATCTCACGAGGTCCTAAGATGGTATAGATTAAGATAAAATACACTATCATACTTATTTTTCCTAAACAATGCTGCTTTAATCGCATTTTGTGTGCCTAATGTTGAGTGATGCAATATTTAATAGGAAGAAGATATAGGCAACAAAAAAGTTATGAGATCACTGCTCTTTTATTTATGATTTAGTACTTTCACAAGCAAGAAAAAAGAATTCCTTTTTAGTACCTACGTGCTTTTTCGGAATGTTTTGGGTAATATGCAATTTTTTGCAAAGAGTGATGAAATTACAATGATCTTAATCTCTCTTGATGCACCTTTTTTTGTATGTTAGAAAGAAGCTTGAGAATTGCTCTTTGATTTCCATGTACTTAAACTATATAGTCATTTAGGGTAAGAAGGTAATCCATTAAAACCATCATTATTTGACTCGAGATCAAATGTCATAAGTTAAGGATTGATATTAGCCAGCTATCCATCATAAAACTTATTCCAATATTTTTGAAATGAATCCAATTTTAATGATTGGAAGTTTTATGATGTTACTTGGAGCTGATTCTCTAGGACCTATTCCTAATGTGTTGAGAAGTAGGCCTAGGTTTGGTAAACATGATCTGAAAGTATAGAGCCATTGCATAATCTGATTATTTGAGAACTAAATGTTGGCTAGGTCATCATCTACAAGTGGCTCAACATAATTTAACCCAATCACTGCAATAAGTGGACAATTATTGATTAGGTCTAAAACAATTATTTAGTTTGCAATATGAAATTTTGGGGTGATTGGAGAGGCCAAAGAATTCATGGGCATGATAATTAGCAGAAGAATGTGTATCTATGCTATCAAGAAATTAGTTAGAAAGGTGGAAAATCAATGTTATATAAAGATAAATACTATTCCTCCTCTGATCATTCACTTATTTTAGTTCCTTTTCTAGAAATTTTCCATTTTATGTTTTCCGCTGTGAAGAGCATTAATAAATAAATCAAACAAACTCTCAGATATTGGGGAAAGTTACAAGCCATTATTTATTGGTGAGGTTAACATTTGAATGATTAGACATGGTATTAGATGGAGACTTAAAAGATAACATTATTGAGGTGTCAGTAGTTAGTGATAAGTTAATTTTTTTATTATGATATTGGTAAACATAGTTAGGGTTATGCTTGTCAAGCTGAATTAAATGATAGAAAAGAGGAATAATTTCAGTAAAAGATGGATGAATCAATATAGTATTTACTCAAAGAGGAGATGATATTATTAATGACAAGTAAAACAAAAATATAGCTTTTAGTGTGTCATGCTATGAAGTAATTTTTTTGTTAGGATGAATGAACTATTATAATTTATGCTTGAGGAAGAGTTTAATTTATTGTGATGATTTTAAATGAATATATGGTAGATTGTGCTTTGAGTTATTTCATTGTGTAAATGAAATATGTGGAAGAATGTGATATAAGAAGTTTTATTTTTTCCTTTATTAAAAGATAGAAATCTATATCTGATATTTTATTAATTAAAGTTAGAGCATATAGCTATTCATAAATAAACAGGCACAAGGCTTGTTACAAATTAGAAGAGTACAATGCTTGATGAAAATTGGATGCACGTAATGACCTAGCAAATATTAAATTTTAAAGATTATAAGACATACTTGAGCTCCACCTCTATCCTTGTGGTTAGGGAGCTTTTCCACTTTAGTTAGTATGCTTTGGTATTGAAGAAGTTATATTTGATTTTATGTTAACATTTGATCTTAAAGTTATGAAAACATCATTTATGAAATAAATTGAACTCTTAATCAATTTTAAAAATTGAAGTATTAAATTAAAAGATTGTTGCTACTTATATGATTTTTTTTATGGTTGTGAGCCATTTCTAGGGTAACTTCTTGTTGGACGATATAAAATAATAGTTGTCCTATTTTACCATAGAAGCATGAATAGCATTCAGGTGCTATAAACACATAATGAGAATAAAGGAAAAATCAAAATTCTTTAATTGAATTAAATGTGTGATGGAATGAATGATAGTTTTTTTCCTAACTTGGTCCAAGATTTTGGATGTATTGTTGTGGAAACAGATGGTCGGATGAGAATTTGAAGCTTGGCTTATTTTTTACATAGAATATAATAACCTTAAACTAATTTTTTCTGTCACTAATGGGTTATTTGGTTTGTTGAAAAAAATGTACTGTAAAAAAGTCGGTGTAATTTAAATGTAATGCATTAGGAATATTTTAGAGTTGTTTAGTTCGATGTAAAATAAATACAAGAGTTTATATTTTTTGTTTGGTTTGAAAAATAAAATTAATGTAAAATGCAATTTGTGGTGGCGACGTGCAACAACCGATGGTGGCGGTTGGCTGCGTGGGGCATCGATTGATGATGGGGGGCATGTTGGAGGCGACGGGTGGTATGTGGCA